CTCCAAGGGTGAGGTTTCTTATCTGTAAAATGGGGATAGCAATGAAGTTGCTGTAAGGATTAAATCAGGAAAAGTATGTAAAAGCACTTCTCCCATTGCCTGGCATATAATTGCATTCAATGGCAGATGGAGGGAAGAGAGAGACAGCATGCAAGTGAGCACACTGGAGGAGGAGCTACCAGATTCACTGTTCACTGTCATAAACACACACAACCTCTCCTCTCTTGCAGTTCACGTTCTGGCGTCTTTAGCAGCTTCATGGGCAAATCACTTCAAACCTGCACAGATGCTACTTCACCTGGGCAGCAGTTTCTCATCCCCTGCCCCTCCCCCCTCCCCAATTTAACCACATTTGCTGTGTTCTCAAGGCTGCTGATACACAAGGAACTGAGAATAGTTTAATAGTACCAATCATATTTTTCAAAATCCACTCATTTTTGCCCTTTTTGATTTTAAAAAATCTTGGCTTTTTCCTCAAAATTGCTGAAATATTAGGTGTGTAAATGAACCTGTGTTTTCTTGCTCTCCTATTCCAATTTCTTAGACTCAGACAAGGAAAAGCTTCTCTGGGTCTCAGGAGAGGATTTCCAGGGTGCATGGTTCCACTGGCTGTGCTGTCTGGTCAGCCTTATCGTTGTGGATTCCACACCCCCCACCCCACTGTCCCAACACCCATTAAAACTGAGCTGACAAGACTTCAGGATACATTTGCTGTTTCTTACCTTATCATTCACAATTAGTGCAAATGATTATCTGTCTGCCTTGCCCTTTAAGAAGAAAACGTCATAGAATCATTTTATCTACTTGTAAACCACAATCTTGGGATTCTTTTTTTTAGGATGGTCCTTTGAGACCATACATATTAATTCCTTTAATATTTCATCATAGAGTAGTCCTTCAGAACCTCTTATTTTACTTGTTCCTTTTGCTTTGGCAAAAATATAAAACCAAAGGAGCTGCAAATCTTGTTTTTCTGCCTGATTAAACAGCATCTGGAAATCTGAAATAATTGTCTCTTTTCTTATTTTAAAAGATTTTTTTAAAAACACACAGTATACTAAATATTGTGGTGTGGAGTTGAAAGCTTTAGATCATCATTTGAAATGCTCAAATCCTGTCTTTGAAAAACAGTATTTCCTCTTCATTACTCAGTGCTGTTATCAATATACAAGACTGATAATTTCAAATTCACGTTATATGTAGATATTCAAAAGACGGAAAAAGAGCTTCATGTGACTTTGCTTAATAGGTTTACCTATAGTTGTAAATGCAGCAGTATACAGTAAGTGATCCATATTTGGGAGTTATAACAATTATTTCTAATAATAATTGATATAATCTATTATTTAATTGATATAATCTATTAGAACTTGTGAGAGGTTTAGATGTAAATAATCTGCCTGCCTAGCAAAGGGAAAGGAAGGAGAGTAAGCAGGGAAAAATGTTTCCAAAATGTCCTATCATTAGAAGTAAATGGTCATAAATGTTTTTGCATTCAGTTAGGGTTTGGTTTTAATTTCACCTTGAATTCCTACACCTTCCAAATGTATTTTAAACCCTTCGCTAAATAAATCACATTTTCATCACACACAGAGCTTAAAAGAGGTGATTCTACGACAGATATTCAGTATTAGCTAGCAATGGAAATCATTGGTTGAAGGTACATAAAACCACGTGCATATGTAATAGTTTTTTAATTTGGTGATTTACTATTTTAAGTCATTTTTGTGTCAAAGCTATAAAAATCTCCAGTGCTAAAAAGTGTGAAAAATGAGTTAGAAAAAAAAAAAAATTGGGGGGAGAATTTTTAAACTTGCATTATTTTTATGTTCCTACTTTCTATTATTTCAGAATGCATACTTGGAATGAATCCTTCTAGAGACGTCCACGGTATGTTTCATTCCAAGTTATATTTTTAAATAAAATATGCACATTCAGATATGTTTCTATGATTTTATATCTATGTATCTGTATGTATAACCTGTGATATAATTTAACCAAGTAATTAAGGCTCTTTTTGCTGATTCCAAAATACTTAAAACCAGTTCTCCATGTTGTAGATGTTATACCATAAAAAATATTTCAATGAAAGCTTAAATGATACCCTCAGTTCTACAGCGTTTACCACAGGTCCTTCTGCTATTAAATGCCTCTATACAACTCTCTAAAAACAAAATAGAGCTTGGCTTCTGTTGCAGCCCAGTTTATTACCTCTGTTATAGCAGTGGTAATGCAAAATTTTTATAAGAGTAAAATGTTTACTAAGCATTCCTAAATTTAAAAAAGATTAATTTTAAAATGTCAACTTGCTACTTGTGAAGTACACAATGGATTTATGAAGTGAAAGTGAAATAATGACACATTAACCATAGCATCCCACAGAAACATTCAGATGGAGGAAGGACGTAATGGAAGAACTAAGGGCTCTGCTCCCCATAGTAATTAGATTTGAAAAGTGAAGTAATCTCAAAGCCACTTCAGAAGAAAAAAATGTTTAATTAAATTCCAATGTTCAAAACTGGATAGTGTGTATGGCAGGTGATTTGTACATACATGTTACTCTTCATCAAAATTGTTTGCCAACCCTGTGACATTAATACAAATTGCAGCTATTTGGTCCAAAACCATAGCAAGATACATTCTCTATTTTTAAAAATGTAAATTGGTCATTTAAAATAGAAATAATTCTTTTAGAGGTATTACATTTTTACAAATGTAATTTGGGAAATATCATATTACTCGCAAAGGGTCATTTTAAGAGAATTGTTGAGATTCTAATTCCATCTTTATGCATATTTTCGGGAGGCTTTTGAAAGAGCAAAAATGTAAAATATTTAGTTATTTTTCTGAGACCACCTACAGTTATTTTCCTAAAGTTGGAGAAAAACGTCAATGACTGTTACTGTTTTCCAATGAAATTATTTTTCTTCCAACTAACCAAGTACTATTTTTCGAATATACTGCAGAAATTTACATTTCATTCTGTTATGAGCCTTTTTCAATTCTCCTCCCTCCCTCTTCCCGAAACAAATTTAGAAAAATCTGTCACGTAGCATCCACCAAACCTATCGCTTCGTTGCATTTTTTTTTTTTTTTTTGTAATTTTGCATTATGACAAAGGCAAATTCTAGCATTACTCCAAGGAAACACTGGGAATGAACCTGGTAATGCTTCCTTTCCTTTCTCCCTTAAGCAAAGGAAGGGGAATTCTATATTGCCGCTAAAGTGAGCGCTGTTGGTGGAAAGGAATTCCTCATTTTGCACACGCTGTTGCTGGCCTTGAGAGTGCAGGCTCGGTGAAATGCCCTTCAGACTAAGGGGTTCCCTGTCCCCCGAGCCCGAGCCTCTTTCTATTCAATTCATTTTAGAGTCTCAGTAAGGAGGGGCAGTGGTTCGTCTGTTTCTTGTTTTCAAGAGCGCGCCGCAGCGCGCACTTACAGCCCGCGCAGCTCCAGGGAAACCCAAATGCCCGGCAATCCCAACGAGTCAAGGCACAAAAGCTTTGGCTGCTATCAGCTTTTTGTCGGGCTTCAAACTCGGGATTTATCGGTTGAATCAGTTGAAACTCCTAGCTGAGCAGCTCCCACGACGCAGCCTCTGAAGGCTAAACGCGGTGCATGCCCGGCTGGGACCAACTTTCCTTACTCTAAAAGGGAACTTGACTCCCTCCCGGGAGACGGCAGCCCACGTCCGACTTGCAGCCCCTCGCAGGGTTTAGGGTTTTAGGCAAGTGGCCCAAGATCCAGACGAGCCTCCCTGCACCTTTCCGAGAAGCAGATCTCCCGAGTCTGCTATTTCCCTTGGAGTCAAAGCCCACTTTCGGAGCCACCACACCCTCGTGCTTCCTCCCACATCTCGAGGGTCCAGGGTATACACTTGGGGTGGCCCCAGGAGTTCTGGGTGGGATCTCGGGGAAATGCATTCGAGCCCAGGCGAAAAGTTCCCCTTGCCCAGAACTTGCCTCTAGAGTGGGACGCGTCCGAGCCCGCAGGCAAAGGCGCAGCGGCCCTGACGGACGGTTGGGCGGACAGGCTGGCGGGCACGATGAATTCTGCCCAGGGACAGAGTTAGAAAGTGGACGTTTGGCTGGGGGCTGGTTACAACCGGAATTAGGCTTAAAAAATCATTTTAAAAAATAAGAAGTTTTCTGAGACCCCAGGTCCATTGAAACAAATCTGCACTAGGGTGCTGGCAATGCCCAGGGTTTTTCCTGCGAGAAAGGAGCAGGGGGAGACCGGAGGGGGCGGAGGCCGCGGGTCGCCAGCCTTAGCCGCGAGAATCGGGGCTCCGCGAGCATCGACAGCCCCGAGCCGGCCGAGGCAGGCCCCAGGTACAGGGGCTTCGGGAAGAGACTCGACTGGGCCGCACAGCCAGGAGAGTCCCAGTGGAGGCTCCCCAACCCGGACGACTGTGACTCCAGATTGGAACCTCGGAGACGTGTCGCGGCCGTTCAAGCTCAAGTGGGCTCTGGCGGCCGCTTCCTGTCATTTCTCCTCGAACTCCAGTTCTTCCTGGGCGACCCGAAGGCCACGAGGCGGGCCGCAGAGCCCCGCGCCGTCGGGGGTGTTCCGGGCGCACCGGGGACTGCGCGCGGCTTCCAGCGAGGGCGGCTGCTGCCCCCTGGCGTCCTCCCGAGCCCGCGGCGCGTCCCGGCAGCTCCGCGCAGCCCCAGCCCGCTCGAGATAGGCCTCCACGCCGCCCAGCCCCGGCCCCCTCCTGCGTCCCGGCCCGCGGCAACAACTGTCCCGCCCAGGGACAGTCCCTGCGTGGCAGCGGCCCCAGCACCCCAGCCCTGGGGGAGGGAGGAGCGGGCGTCAGGGGCCCCGTGGGGTTGGGCGGGGGACCCCTGCGCGGGGGAGCTGAATTGAGGGGCTCCGCGGGGACTGCAAAGAAGCCCGCGGTGGAGCTGGGCTCTGGGTCACATCCCAGGGATGGAGGAGAGGCCCCGGTGGGGGGACTCGTGGAGATGTGAGCAGCCTCCGCGGGCAGAGAGCCCCGTCGGGTGGGGTCGGAGTTGGCCGCGCGCGCCGGGCCGGGGGCGGGGCCCTCGGAGCTCCGCGAAAATGCCCGCGGCGCCGCGGCGACCGAGGCAGGGGGAAGCGGCCGTCCGCGCGCGAAGCCGGGGTGGGTTCCGCACTTAGGGCGGCTCGCGCGCGCGGGACGGGGAGAGGAGCGGGGTCCGTCTCCGGGGAGCCGGAGGGGAGACGCGGGGCCCGGGAGGGCTGTCCCGCCTTTGCGGGGGCCGGCGCTGCGAGGCTGCTTTCAACTTTCTTTCCATTCGCGCGTTCTTGGGGTCTTTTCTGACTAGGAAACTCCTCGCGGGCCGCTGGCGCACGCAGCCAGGGTGAGGCGCGCGGCGGGATCGAGCCGTGGCCCAACGCAGCGGTGAAAAACAAACACCCTTTACAGAAACCGACCCGAGGGAAGCCGCTGAAAGTAAACGACACGCGCGGACGCCGTCCGGCCTCATGCAGGGAATCAGCGCCGCTTCGCCGCAGCTGCCAGCCGGGCGGTGTAGGAACGCAGAGCGACTCCCCCGGGCCCCGCGGCCGAATCTCACCCCCACCCGGGAAACGGAGGCCTGGCCCTGGGCGCCGCGCAGGATCTGGGGCCGCCGGCGGGCTTCAGTCCCGGTTCGGGAGCCTTGCGGCGGCCGCTGGCCTGCCAGCAGCTGGTCTCGGGGCCCGGCCCCTCCGGGCGCGGCGCGCGGGCCGGGTCCTCCTCGGGCCGCCCGGGCCTGCCTTTCTCTTCCCAGGTCTCGGGACCGCGGCCGCTCGTGAAGTCGCAGAAGCCCGCGTGTGGCTGCGGGAAGGGGTCGGCACTCGGGCGGGGCCCGGGGCCAGGATGCGGGCGTGGGTGCGGGGGCGCGGGGGTAGCCGCCGACTCCCCGCCCGGGCTGCGTACAGTAGCGCGCGGCGCGGCGGCGGGGGCGCGCGGGCCAATTCCAGGAGCCGGCGGCCGCGAGCCGCGCCCTGGCTGATACCGGAAAGGCCTGTGATTGGCCGCCGGCCGCCCCTATGCAAACGAGCTGAGGGAATGGAATTCCTCCGGCCGGGCTTACAGTAAAAGCACGTTCATTTCCAGGCACTCTCATTCATACAGCCAGCGGGCGCGGGCGGGACGGGCGCCCCGCGGCCGGACCCAGCCAGGGCACCACGCTGCCCGACCCTGCGCTGCCAGGCACTTCTTCCCGGGGCTCCTAGAGACGCCAGAAGGAAGTCAACCTCTGCTGCTTCTCCTTGGACTGCGTTGGACCTTCCTTTTTTTGTTTTTTTTTGTTTTTGTTTTTCCCCTCTTTCTTCCTTTTGAATTAACTGGCTTCTTGGCTGGATGTTTTCAACTTCTTCCCTGGCTGTGAACTTTTCCCCGATTGTGTTCCTTTTACAACTGCGGGAGAAAGTGCGCTGTGGTCCGAGGCGAGCCGTGAAGTTGCGTGTGCGTGGCAGGGTGCGTGGCAGGGTGTGCGTGCGTGTGTAATCCGAGCCGCCCGGTCTGTTTCGATCTGCGCCGCAGAGCCCTCCCTCAAGGCCCGCTCCACCTGCTGCGGTTACGCGGCGCTCGTGGGTGTTCGTGCCTCGGAACAGCTAACCGGGGGGCACTGGGCGAAGGTGGAGGAGGATCGTCTCGCTGCTGCCCGAGTCGAGGCTGAGTCACCCAGCTGATGTAGACAGCGGCTGACTTCCGAAGAGTGCGTGTTTGCGTGTGTGTGACTCCGCGGCTGCTCAACTCCCACCAAACCACAGGACCAGCCACAAACTTCGCCAACATCCCCAAACGCGAGTTCGCAGATGTGGAGAGCTGTAGTACCCTGAGTGTCATCTACTGGGCCTGTTTCTTCTTCCTTTATTATTATTATTAAGATTAGCTGAAGATATTTGAAATGCTGAATTTTCTGCACTGAGCATTTTGACAGAATTCATTGAGAGAACGGAGAACATGAGTACTTCTAGTTCAACCCTGCTCCAACTGCTGAAGCTGATTTTCAAGGCTACTTAAAAAAATCTGCTGCGTACATTAATGGATTTCTGTTGTGTTTAAATTCTCCACAGATTGTATTGTAAATATTTTATGAAGTAGAGCATATGTATATATTTATATATACGTGCACATACATTAGGAGCACGACCTCTGAATGTCGCAGCTCTTGCTTTTCAGGACTGAAGCCAGTTTTGCATGATAAAAGTGGCCTTGCGTATGGGAGATACTTGTGTTCTGTTGGGACTTTAGACAAAACTCACCTGCAGAAAGCTGACAGGCACTAACTACTGGGACTTCCAAATAATGTGTTTGCTGGTCGTTTTACTCTCCGCATAAATATTTTAGGAAGTGTATGAGAATTTTGCCTTCAGGACCTTTTGTAACAGCCAAAGACTGAACTTAAAATTGTGCAAGCAAGACTCGAAGAAGATAGTATCCACTTTTTAATGCACTAAGCGGTCGGTTGCTAGGAGCCCATCCTGGGTCGGAGGCCGATCGGCAGAGCCAGAACTGCCCCCCCCCAACCCACCCTGGACTGTTAGTAACTTAGTCTCCCGGGTCCCCTAACCAGTACCCCCCTCCCCCCTCAGTAATAAAGGCCTCTGAACTTGTATGTTGGTCTCCCGGGAGCTGCTTGCTGAAGATCCGCGCCCCCGTCGCCGTCTGGTAGGAGCTGTTTGCAGGGCCCTAACTCAATCGGCTTGTTGTGATGCGTATCCCCGTAGATGCCAGCACGAGCCGCCGCTTCACGCCGCCTTCCACCGCGCTGAGCCCAGGCAAGATGAGCGAGGCGCTGCCGCTGGGCGCCCCGGACGCTGGCGCTGCCCTGGCCGGCAAGCTGAGGAGCGGCGACCGCAGCATGGTGGAGGTGCTGGCCGACCACCCGGGCGAGCTGGTGCGCACCGACAGCCCCAACTTTCTCTGCTCCGTGCTGCCTACGCACTGGCGCTGCAACAAGACCCTGCCCATCGCTTTCAAGGTACTGGCCCGGCGCGGGTGGTGGGAGGACAGGCGGAGGCCGGCGAGGCCCGGGGCGATCCGCGAGGGCAGCGGCGGGGCGGGCAGGGCTGGATTCTAGAAACTGGCCCCGGCAGCCCCGGGTCCGTCTTCCTAGTTTGGGATGCGGGGGGATGCTGTGTTGCCGTGGCGACCCCTCGAGAGGGACTCGTCTCCGCTTTTTGGGGCGGCCTTCCCGGGAGGGCTGAACACATCAGGATGACCCCAAATACATCCACTGGGGGCCGGTTGGGACCTCCCTGGCAGGGGCGTTAGCTTTGATACAAAGTAGGAAAAGTTGTAACCCAGCCCGGCAGGGACAGCCAGTCTGCTAACTAACTTACTGCTGCCCCTACCGCTAGCTTAACTCCCAAACCATTTTGTCTTCCTCAGATGAAGGCATCAGGAAATAAAATAGTGATTGATACTTTTCTACCTTCGAGTCAGTGAAAAGAAACTAACAAGAGAAACTGTCACAGACTTTTTCCCCCCTTCTCTAACCGCCCTATAGGAATTAGCATGTCCAAAGTCCACAGCGGGCGTAGTTCAGTTTGCAAAAGTTTTCTGAAGAGTTCTCTGAGCTTTTTAGCCTTCTGCTGCCAGAGGCTGCAAGTAGCGAATCCTGTTTCTTTTCCCGAAGCCATTCTGAATGCTATCATCAGCTCACCTAGATTAAGCCCCGGGCAGCGAAAGGCAACAAGGCTGTATTCGGAGAGCCGGGGGTCCCAGCGGCCGCTTTCCTGTTAGAGGAGGGGGAGGCGCGTAGCCCGAGACTTCAGTGCGGCGGCTCCAAAGATCTCCCTTCACTTTTCACCCTTGATCATCCCCTAGCTTTGAGCTGCCCTTAAAAACCTTGGCCTTCATCAGGGGTATGAAAACAACCCCAGGCGTTTCTAAACAACCACCCTACTACCCTAACAGCCTACAGTGGGAATTTAATTTCTGCAGTGGAGATTCTGTTTAGTCTTTGGTGGGTTTAAAAAGATGCGACTAAGTAAAATCAGTGCGGGTCATTTCCTGTTCATTTAAAGGGCTAATCAAGGTAGGTGGTTCCAAGTGTAAAGATAAGCTACTTAAAAAAATATATTTAAATAATTGTCCCCTTTAAGAGGAGATTAATTTAAGTTTTTTATAGTTCCAGGCCTCAGCTGGGTCTTGATCTTATTACATCGAATAATATTCACTTTTTAAGAAAGTATTGTTAGAGTTGTTTTTAAGCTTTATACACTTTCAACACTTAGGCTGTGATTTATAAAACAACGAAATTTTCAGTTGTGTCTGTCTATAGATTTGCCTCTTTTTCCACTCACTTTTCCAAAAGCAGTTTTTTGTTTTGTTTTGTTTTTTAGTGGGGGTGGAAATGAGGAGAAGAAATGCAGTGACTTGCTTGACTCTTCTTTCCCTCCTTTCATTTACTTAGATTTGGGTTTGGGAGACCATTTTACTTTTACATCATTCTAACCCTTTGCATAAATGCACTCAGCGGTGAATTTTTAGGGCACCCGCATTGAGAGGGGACCCAACAGGGTTGGGTCATGGGGTCACTATCAGATAAGAGCAGAGGCAAGACAGGCTGATAACCACCAAAGGCCATTTAAACCTGGTTGCCCCAATGCACCAGGGCTCCAAGAGATTTGTGGCCTCCCTTGGGGGAAAATCAGGGTCTCTTCTGAACTCCCTCCTCTGCCAGGGAACCCACACTCAAATATATCAAAACACTAAATGATTAATAAAGAATCTTCAGGAGTTGGAGCAATTCAGAGTCTCAAGCCATTACGTGAAAGTATTTATTTTCTTCTAAAAAGAAAATGAAAAATCTTACATACTGTTTTTATGAGCCATCAGGATTCTTTTTAGCAGAAATCGTAATAACCCTAGAGTTTCCTTTTTAAAATGACTTTTGGCAATTCACTTAAAAACAATTAATTTATTTTATTGAGTGATAATCTGTAGGCTACTAAAAATCAAAATATAGATCTCTTGAAAAAGTTCAGGCAGGCCTCTTGAGAACATTTGGGCGAAAGGAAAGCATAGCAGAGAAATCAGACCATTTGATTAATATCTGTCACCACCCCAATCCTCATAAAAAGAGACTTTTTCTCCAGGAGACCTGCTCTCTGCATAACTAGAAGAGTAGACACAATGTTCAGTGAGACAGCAAATGTGAAGAGATAAAACGTTAGGGATAAAAGACGCAAAACATCCAAACCTGCCTACATCACGGGCTCATTTACTGTATGTCCCTGGCTTCACTCTATTTATCCACCCGCCCAACCACATCCCAAACAGTTTCTACAGAAATTATTATTTTAAAATTTGGATCTGAAATAAGCCGAAGGCAATCTCCCTAGGAAGTAAATCAGTAAATAATTATTATATTCTCCATGATAAAAGAAGCAAATATGAAACAATGATAAGGCCTGATGATATTGATGAAAATATCATTTAAGGGCTTCTTAGGAGTCTTCTGAAGTTCTAGAGGTAAATCCTCTACATCAACCTTCTAAACTAAAGAAAGAATTAAAATTACGAATTTTCTTTAAAATAGATTGGAATAACCCTACTTGCTTATTTTGGACCCCAATCTGTTCTCCTCCTACTCCTTCCCTCCCATGGAACACCTTTAGAGTATGAGATATACATGGCTTTTACTACTAAGAAAACCTTACATTTGCTGTGTGTTTTGCTGTATTTACAGAAGTAGCCTAAAAAGCTGTTTTGATCACTTAGGATGTATTTTGTAATACCATAGTATTATAGCTTGTTCAGGCCCTGGTACACCAGAGTCCAAAGACGTAAACATGCCTGCAGCAGGGAAGTTCAGAGACCTTGGATTCTCATGGTAATATTCTTTTCATAAAAAGGAAACAAGTAATATTTCTGTCGGCAAGATCACGGTCCCAAGCTATGCCTTAAATGTCATCTCAGCTGAATTCTATGTTCCACTCCACAGCCTTCTTTGAAGCACTGGAAGATTAAGGGATTTGAAGTAAATGAATTGTAACTATAATTTCAACCTAATTAGAACTGGTTTAAAATGCCAGTTTGAACTGTGAACAGACTAGCCAAGAACAGTATTGGGAGGTCCATGTAGTATAGAAGAGAGTTGATATTTTGCCCAACTTCCTGATACTTTAAAAACAGAGAAGTAAAACAAAATATGAGATATCTTTGGCCAGCAAGTCCCTTCTTGCCTGTTTGGTCTGTGTTAAAATGTAAATGTTTGTGTTTCCTTACCTATTGTTTATAGCGTTTCATTCCAGTTGTTCCTTTTTTCTGTTTGAAGTCAGATATTTTTTCGTTCTCCCCATATTGCCCATCAATGACAAAACCTGTATCAAATTAGCACACATGTTAGGTTTAAATTTAAAAAACTTTTTAAACCTAGCTTCAGTATGCTTGTTAACAACTGGGCAATATACATTATTAATGAAATTTCCCTGGATTTAATAATTTCCCTGAACCCGCCCCTGTCAAAAAATAAAATTCCTCAGAGATCAATACAAGGCCAAGTAAATGATATGTAGGTGCCAAAATATCTTTGATTTGCTTTATTGAGAGAGAGAGAGAGAGAGAGAGGAGCGAGAGTTAAACTTCTATTTTTTTAATTCTTAAATTCCAACATCGACAATCTTTTCTTATTTAGCCTCCATGATAATTTTATCCTATGTTTGTTTCGACTTGGCGAAGTTCTCGTGAATTTGCCAGATTACTAATGAGGGTAGTATTGGAAAGATGAGAGAGGCACAGGCGTGGGGCACTGTGAGAGGAACCAGTAGTAGGAGGCAGATAATTCAGAATACATTCCTGTAGTTATAAAAAAGGGATTTGTTTATTTTAATCTTTTTACAGATTCAGACCCAACAATGAGTTATTCAGTTTGAAACCCACGTAGCCGAGGCAGTCCCTGTGTACCTTCCGAATGTTGAGTTAAAATTGAGAAGCCTGGGTCACCACAGGGAGATGAAGATGAGGAAGTAAAAATATGTGTTCAAAAAGGACATTTCAACACTGTGAGCTAACTTTACAAAGGGAAGTGAAAATAGTGAAAAACGGGAGAAAATTTGTTGTAAGAGACTAAAAAGAGCAAAATAAAGCAAGCCCATTTTTCAGGAATAGAAAACAAAAAAAAACAGTAACAATAACCAAATAACTGATCAGGGAGATTTATTTCAATGATATCTTTTTAAAACAAAAAGGGAATTGTATTACTGCTCTTAATGAAATGGCAACAAACACACTTATAATGGGAACTAAATAGCTAATTAGAGGGTACTTGGGGAATAAATAGCAGTGTTTTAAAATCTCCTATATGGAAAACATGCCTAACAATTGGAATGAAAGGATTAAAGCAAGAGATAAAAGGCCCAGACCTTGACAGTGCAAGTTGGATAAAATAGAGGAAAATGCCTCCCTGTTTCCATGAGACTAGATTATCCTTGTGTAGTCTTGAGGTTGGAAGTATGTTTATCTCTCATAGTGAGTTAGTTCATGTTCTGTGCCATGCTTCTTAGAACCACAGGACTGAAACAGTTCTAATGAATCAAAACAATAGATGGTCATCTGGAGGCCACAGGGAAAGGTGATGGCTAGACAGATCACGAAGATGGGAATCTTGAGAAACATGACTTTGATATCATACAAGTGAGTCCATAGCAGTCTTTTTTTATATATAGAAAAAGAGGTCAGAAAAAACATACTACCAAAAAAATTACATAGCAATTATTAAGGTAA